AGAAAAAAAAAAAAAAAAAGGCAAAACTTCACAAACCCTGAAAGTAAAACTACGCAACAGCTACGGTGATGACAGCTTGCTATATATCTTGGCTATATGTAGCACTAGAATTTTACTGGTTTCAGAAGTAAAGTTACTGCAGTTATATATTTATATTGGCATAGTTTAGTTTAGTGAACATTTTGGTGAAGGATGGAAACATTTAAGGTAATTTTGAGGAAATTCCTGAAAGCAGCTGGTAAGACTAACACAGCAGCGTAACCAAGCAGCCTTTCATGTAGAAAATGGAACTATTCTGCTTTACCTTAAATACAAGGTCTGGAATAAACTTGAATGGTTTGGGTACAAAGCCTTCATTCACACTTGTCTGTCTAAGTGTACACAAAATCCATCAATTTTGCCTTTATGAAACTTAAATTTGCTTCAGTTGTGAGTAGTGGAGTTGTGGGTTTTTTTCTTCAGTGATTTGCCGTGTCTTGAAAGCAGAAAGGTAGGAAAGCTCAACCCTCCAAGTGGAATTTGTCTGGCCTGTCAACCAAGGAGGAGGTCATATATGAACTGGAAGAGGGAAGGAGGAGGAGAAGAAATTAAAAACTTTGCAACCTTATCTGGAGAAAGAAAAATAAATCAAGCTACTTTGCAAGAAGAAAAAGAAATCAATAATACAAGTGTTATCCTGTAACTTTGTAACCCATAACATCTTGATAGGGATTAATAAAAGTCTGCTGTTCTGCCAACACCGTTGGGGAAAGGAGAAGGAGCTATTTTGGAATTTTATGAAATGAAATGCATTATTATCAGTGTAGGTTTTGTTAATTAAATAATGCGTACTTCTTTATTTTGGAAGACATTCCAGACAACTGCATCTCCAAAGAGCACACTGAAGTTACCCACTGTGACTGATGTGTAATTCATTACTAGTTTTTCTCCTTTCTATATTTGAATCTTATGGAACAGCTGTTTTCACCTTAACATCTATTAGATGGTATCAGATTTGATTTTTCTGACATGCTGTTGCCTTTGCAAGTTAGAGTAGAGCAAAGCTGTGAGTGTACTTCCCTTTTTCTTCCCCTCTGTGTCTGGCCTGCTGTTCATGGTTGTAAAGACATGTATGTTTGATTTGCTTTAACTTATTGTTTTGGATGCTGCAGTTTAGATTTCTGGCATATTCAAACTGCTTCCAGTGTCTTTGTTTGGTGTTTACTGAATGAAAAGCATCGCTAGATCCAACACAAGTATTGATGTGAAAGCCTCACTCGTAACTCGGTTTAACAAGTTGTCAGCGCATTTGCTTTAATTTTGGAACTGCACCAGTACTACTAATGGTCTTTTGTTCGTTCAAATGATTGTTGTAACTCAGAAAAAAAAAAACCAAGGCCCAAACCCCACCCACCACACTGTGGAGTCTTTAGGAAGATCACTGATGTCCTCACACAAGGTCAACACTACTTTGGGGAAGGCTTATATTCTTCTGCCACTTTAAGGAAAGACTGTTCTGAAGTACTTTTTGCCTGCTTTTAGGCTGTTTTGCACTTTCATGATTTCTTAACAAACTACTGTTAAAATGTACTGTAACACGGATTTTGATAAGCGCACATGTATTTAAACAATTCACTCAGCCTCAGGAAAGCTGGAAGAATTGGATACCTGTTTTGTATCTTGGTTAAAATGTTTGTTACCTGCACCCCTTAAGATGGCCAGATAATGTCTAGATCCTGCGAGTGTAACTATTTAAGATACCAGTATAGTCTGTAAAATGAGGACAGTGTAATTTTGCTTTAGGGACAGAGAAAAGGGTGTCCTCTTATTTTTCTTATAGGTATATATAGTCTGAATTGAAGTTTCAAAAGCAAAAAGCAGTAATAAACCCCATTTAGTGTTCAGGAAAAAAAAATGTTTTCTTAACACTATCTGATTTCTATTTTCTTTCTTCTCCTTAAAAAGCGTGTGTGAAATAAGTGCAGAGGTATGTGTAGGAAAAAATGTAAAATCTGCTGCTGTACGTGTTTGCTACTTGACTGCATTTTCTGTTCCACTTTAATTTTACTGGTTTTGCTAAATATATTTTATATATTTTCCTTCCTGCTTCTTGTGATGGCAGAGTGACTACATCTTTTGGGGGAAAAAATCAAAAACAGCCATGAGAAGGCTTTGGGGCCAGAAAATTCCATGAAGGTTGTATGTTACTGTCTATCTCAGGACATTTTTTGAAATAACTGCATAAATCAGGAGCAATGGTAAAATCGACGGGGATACAAAAAGGTACAAAGGTATAGATACTGGTAATTCTATTTCAGGGTTGTTGGTTTGGGGGTTCTTTTAAACATTTCAGAAATCCATTTAAAATATCAATACTAGGTGATTAAAGTGACTAAAGTCATTTTTCAGTCTGAAGATGTAGCCCTCTTTTTGGCCCCTGAATTACTTCCAAGAGATCCACAAAGCCTGGCAAAACAGAAGTCACAGGGATCATGCGTCACTGTCATGTTCCTTAAGACTTGTATCTCCATAAAGAAAGAGCTGGGAGTCTTTAAACTATCTGAGGATGAAAACTCACCACTGTACTTGAATTCATGTAGAGACTGCCAGCTTTTAAGAGGCTGACTAATTATACTAATTATACTTTTTCATATGGCTGTAGCTTGTGCTACAGCAAGAGGAAGAAAAGTATAGAATTTCATTATTTGAGAAAAACTAAAGTAAAAATAATAAACATCAAAACACAAAAGTTGTTGCAGGGTGCACTTCACAAGTGTTTCCATGTCTGTGGTTGGTTTGTCTTCATATCCCAAAGAAAATGCATTGCAAGAGAACCTGTTTTGTTTCCTACAGGGTCACTTGAGCTCCTTCCAAGCTTTCCTTCTAGAACTGTCTTGTAACAGGATTCAAGCAAGGTCTTGAGATGTCTGTTTGCTGCCAAGTAGTATCTGGTATCATAACTTAAATAGTGTTGCCCTGCCTACCCCCAAGCTCCCACACAGCCATGTGCCCTTACATGATCTCTCTAACTCTTCGGGTGAGGAGGAATCGCTTGTCGGGGGTAGATTGTTGCTCTGCAAAATCTGGACTGAGAGTATGTGTCGTCCCAGTTTCCTTTATCTTTTCTTTTTTGGTCCTGTACAAAACACTTCACTTAAAATGTGCTACAGATACACATGAAATAGGAAAAATACTTAAGTGTCACTTCTCTGTAGTATGTGAACCACATTTCTTGCTGCACTCAGTAATATTGTGCAGGTGTCAGACAATAAGAACAATGGAGAGAGACTTTTACAAGGTTATGTACTGACAGGACAAAGGAGGAATGGCTTCAAACTAGGAGAGGGTAAGTTTAGATATTCTGAAGAAATTCTTTATGCTGAGGGCAGTGAGGCACTGGAACAGGTTGCCCAGAGAAGCTGTGGGTGGCTGCGTTCAAGGCTGTGCTGCATGGAGCTCTGAGAAACTTGGTCTCGTGAAAAGTGTCCCTGTCTACGGCAGAGGGGGTTTGAACTAGGTGATCTTTAAGGTCTCTTCCAACCCAAGCCATTCCAAGATTCTATGAAATTAAACAAGCAAAGTATTTTAAAACTTGCTATCCTTTGCAAGTGTCTGAGAATCAGCTCGACTTCTGTTCGTATGCAAGAAAGGGCGCTCGTTCCAACCTGCTGATGTTTAGCGGAAATGGAAAGCCTGGGCAGGAGAGCCAGATGTAGAAAACCATTTTGGGGCACCGTGTTGTGGCGCAAGTCCGAAACTCGTGGCTTTTTGAAGACTTGGCACACTCTCTCGTGAGAGAGAACCTATCATCTCTCACCCTGACATGACGGGCGCCTTTTGCTGTCTCACAGCCCAGCTCAGACTGCAGTATGTGTCCAAGTCCCTGCACAGATGCGGAATTCCTCGGCCGCCGGAGCCCGCCCAGGGCAGCATGCAGCGCGTACTTCTTCTGTGAGGGAGCCGCCCCGCCGACCGCTGAGCAGCGGGGAACGCGAGGGCTCAGCGACACCGCACCGCACACTGCGTGCGTGGCTGGGAGCGGCGCGAGGGGCAGACAGAGCGGTTCCCGTGGGATGGGGATGGGGATGGGGATGGGGATGGGGATGGGGATGGGGATGGGGATGGGGATGGGATGGGGATGGGGATGGGCAATCCCCGCCCCCTCCTCCCGCAGCGCCCAGCAGGGGGCGCGCGCGCCCCGCGCGCGGCGCTGGGGGCGGGGCCGGCCGGGCGGTCTCCGCGCGCGCGCGGAGGGTTCCACGGGCGGTGAGTGCAGGGAGGCGGCGGGCGCGGCGCGGGGCCGGGGTGGTGCGGCCCAGAGCCCCCGTGCCCGTCCGCCCCTGCCCGCCTTGAGGGCGGGAGGGCTTCCCGCTCCGGGGGCGCGGGGGCCGGGACATCGCGGGGCTTCCTGCCAGCCGGCCTCTTCCGCTCCCCGCTGCCGCGGCTTCGTTGGCGGCCGAGGGGCGGGCTGAGGGTCACCCTGTGCCCCCCAGGAGTTTATTGCGGGTGCAGGGCGCCTTCGGAGCGATACACTCGGGAGCGAACGGAAGAAATGGGCCTTCTCCAGAAGCCGCCTGTGCCCCGTCTGTCGTTCACGTGTGTTAGGGTCCCGGCGGTGCCGAGCCCTTTCCGGCTCTCCCTCCATGCTCTCCGAAAAAAGTGGGAATAGGCTAGGACATACCATGCTTTCCTTCGCCTTCCAGAGGCCACCAGGCCTCCTGACCTTACCTTTTAAATCCAGTGCGGTTTGCACATATTTAGTAATTCTGTGAGACAGTTTCTGTTCTGTGAACTTTTCTTGTGTTACTTTTGAGGCACAATGAAATTCAGTCACCAGGGGATTCCATAGCTCAGCAACACCTTATGTCATGAGCAAGCTGCTTTTGATAGTGGTGGTGGTGTTGTTTTGAGGTTTTTGGGGTTTGGTAGTTTGCTTTTTTTTTTTGTGGTTAAGGCCATTGCAGCCTACATTTGGCCTTTTAATTCTTGCGTAGGAAAACAGTGGTCCATCTGTGCCCGTGGTGTTTGTGCCACTCATGATTACAGGCTCTGTCATACTCCTTCTCAGTTACTCCTTCCTCATACTCATTGCCCTATGAAAGCTTTTCTAATCTTTGGATGTCTGACTAACCTTCTTGAACCTTTTCTAGTTTCAGTATTTTCCCTGGGTTTTGTTGAGAGAAAGAGACCACAACTGCTATTATTTTTATTCTGTATGTGTTGGTAACTTGGAGCTCTTGACAGCTCCTTTTAAATTTCTTTGTAAATTCTACTTAATCGTGTTATCAGACACAATTGCCAAGCAGTCAGGAGATTCAGGATTATGATACATGATTCTCAGAAAACACAATATCACTTTTTGGTGGCAGCCAAGAAAAACCACATCAAATGGAAGAATTTTTTAGGAGAAGAAATAGAATGTAACAGAAAACATCATTAAACAACAGCATAAACGTGATCACTCGTATCTTAGACATTGCGTAGAGTTCTAGTCTCCTCAAAAAAAAAGGGTACATTGGAAGGATTCAACAAGGAAGAGTGAATGCATCGAAAGACTTGTCAACCCATCAGAGAGGGTTAAGACCCTTCAGGCTAGAAAAGAGCCATTTTGCCGAGGGAGGGAAGGCGGATGTCTTAGAGGTGTCTGTGAAATGACACGTGGAAAGTGTAGGGCTCAACCACTTGCTTTCTCTTCTGTCACACCAGGTGTCTGCACCATGTGAAGGGAGTGCATGCTGTCACAGCAAGAACAGATAGTTATTCATAAAATGATTGATAAAATGAAGCTTCTTACCAAATGACACTGTAGATTAAAAACTTCTATGGGAATTTAAGGGGTACTGGACAAGTGTTTCTGTGAACTGCGTTCACGGAATGAATCACTTTGGATGCAAAAACAGCTTCCTTAGTAGAAAATGGTTAAAGTCTGAGAGTATAGATTGGTGAGGTATCACATGTATTCACCTTACCTCAGTCCTTTTGAGGCAGTGGTTTTGGCTGTCTTCAGGATGGAATGACCAGTATCAACCCTTCAGGACAGAAGAATAATTGCAACCAGCGCTTGACCTGAACTAGTACAGCTTTATTCTTAAACCATTTGCCATGGACATGAACAAAAAGTTATTCAGCCTTAATCCTTAAATGGAGCTGCCTCAGATCGGTGGCAGGTTGTCTGCAGACACAGCATTTGCATTCCTGTATATGATAACGAGCTCAAGCTTGAGCAGAGCGCAGTATCTTCCAGCTTTTGAGGTATCAGGGCACGTGTCCGGCCTTTAGTAACCATTCCAGTCCCTCAGATCAGGGGTTGTTTACCTCCAGGCAGGTGGTTGGAACCCCTTCCAGGTGATTTTCATTATGGTTGCACACCATTGCCCAGCTTTTCTTAGTGTGTGCTACAAACACCATAGATGATGAGCTGCTTGTCTCAAAGACTGACTTGGGCAGCTTGGAAGAAATGCAGACAGCTATATTTAACTCTGTTTCTTGCTGTCTGTCTTTAGATCCAAGTTACTCTAGAATGAGATCTTTTCTGAAGTTGCACATGTGCTTTTTATATTGTTGGTAAAAGATCTAAGGCACCTGCAGTGTCCTCTTCCTCCCCCTTCCCAGCAATGAACAGCATGGCTTTCCAGTTGTACTTCTATTCCATGGCCTTTCAGCAGTCTCTCCTTTCCCCTCCAGCCAAGGGACATTTTATTACAATGAGATGACATCTTCAGGGTGCCACAAAAGAACGAGCATTGAAAACTGCCTTGTACACCTACCAAATGGTATTTCCAAGTTGTGTGGGCATTCGGGGAACCCGAATATGGTCTAGGGTATGGGCCCCGATATGGGCTAGGCTGATGCAACCTCTTTGGCAAAGAGATGTTAGAGTCACCTTTGGTCCAGTCTCTCGGTAAAAGTTCTGAAGCAGCAGTTGTGTACTTTACCAGGAGAGGTTTTTTTGAGTTGGCTTTGTAAATACAGATCTCACCACCTGCCTGCCTTTCCCTGTGTGAAAGGAGCTTCCTCTCGAGTAGTGCTGTGGATCTAGAAGGATCTAACCTGTGCAGCAAGCTGGTGTTCTGTCTTTATGGGGTGAACAGTGGTGCAAGGGCATGTGGGGCACTTGTCTCAGCTGAACTATGACTTCAGGTTTCCAGACTCCTCTGATCAGAGGCTGTGGTCCTCTGTGTGCATAGGGGCTGAGAATACTGTTTTTCAGGTGATCATAATTACAGGTGGAACAAATGTACTGGGGACTAAAGATTGTTAATTTTTCCTATAGCATTGACACTTGTGTTCCTTCTAACTTAGGGTGTTTTTTTCCTCCGTTTTAGAATTTGACTGTATAAGATCAGAGTTCTCATACATGACAGCTGGAAACTGCTCTCAATCCCAGGGCATTCCTAAAACACAGCCCTGTCCCCTTGTGTGGTTCTTGTAGGGAGTCTACATGAGGACAGAGCACAGGCTGCTGGTGAGGGACCCAGGGCCTGGGGCAAGCACATGCTTGGGTCAGTTGGAGCCCCAGTGACCTTGGGAATTAAGAGTGTAAAGGTTCCCTAAGAGCCAGAGGCACTGTGGGTTTCTGTGCTTCTTCCCATCCTCCCCTAAACGTTTCAGGGTTGCTTCTGGACTTGAGAGCAGTGAACTGGAAGGGGTATAGAGGGGCTTTCAAACAGTAGAACTGTCTCCCTTGAAGGATTTACAAGTCTTTTTCCTATAAACTCACTTTAATAGTTTTCTAATGTAGTTCTTAAGCACAAGAATGTTTTCATGCTAATGACCTAAGTCAGAATATGTGCATTCAGAAAAATATATTGAATTTTGGGGGTATTTGTAATAGATGTACAATATATTTCTAACATATGTTCTGAGTTACCTCTCCTTGCAACCTCACAGTTAATTACTGCTTAGTTCCTAAGGCTTTAATTTACAAACCAAAAGAAAGGCTATTAAAAAATAAACTGAAAAATTATTAATAGATAAAAGATGTCTATGGGAGTATGCCTTTTTACCTACTGAAACAATGGGAAATTCTTCATGAGCAATTTTGTCTGTGAGGGTTTCATTTCATGGGCATGGATTTAGTCCTTGCAAATACCTGTATGGGCTCACTGAACAGAAAATAAAGATTCCAGCTTTTGACTTAGAAACTGAAACAGATGCAAAGTTGCAGTTCTTAGGTGTCAAAGTATAGATGTGTCCTTGCTTAGGGGATGATAGCAAACCAGATTACTACATGTATCAGTCACTTAATAATAAAAAAAAAAAAAGTTGTGAGTTAAGGAGTGGTTTTAAATTTTTAACATGTCCTAATGAAAATTAATTGTTGTATAGGGCTTAAAATGGATCATAGTGTTGTGTATTGTTAGAGCATTGGGGCTAGAAACTGTGTTATCTGTTTGAACTTGCAGTCATTTTTATTAAAAATACTTTAAATAATACATAATTTAATAATGTATTTATTTTTAAAAATGGTGGGGGAGGAAATTACGATTTTGGTCTTTCTAGGTAACTTGACTTTGAAATTCTCCTCTTGCTTGAGGCTAACACCATAGGTAGGTTTTTAGGCTCTGAACAATTCCCTGTTTTGCCAGCCTGGCCTGAGAAGCCATCAAGTCAGTAAGCAACATTCTGGAAAAGCCAAGTGCTTTCCTCGTATCCCATGTAGGTGTGTCGGGTGTCAGCGGAATGGCAGAGTAAGTGTGTGAGTTACCTCACAGTGGCAGGTTACAGTATCATTCTTCCAGCAAGCAGAGGGAAGCTGTTTTAGGAAACTTCATCTTGAAAGCTCTGCAAGAGTGGAAGGAAGGGTGGAAGGGGAGGAGAGACTGGAGTTCTCATTGCAGTCCAGGGGACGGGGAGAAGAAAAACCCTGAGTGTCTGTACTTGAAATGACTCTCGTTTCAGGTGGCACATGGCTCTCAGTGGCTTCTGCGTAAAGTCAGGTGTACTCCTGGTTCCGGGCTCTGCTGAAGTCATTGCTTGTGTGCCGGTTCTGAGGATGGGTGCAGAGAAAATGGGTCTCTTCAGAGAGGAATATTCTCAGTTTTCTCCAGTAGTTTCCATGTGCTGTGTCTTTTCTGGCACTGTCGTTCCACGAGGTGGCACGGTCCCTTCTGGGAAGGACACAAACTCTGCTGCGCTGCCTGGGGTCAGCAGGGCTCAGGGACTCTGGGCAGCAGAATCCACATCAAGAGTTCTCCGGAAATGGCTGTACTTTTCTGCTAGTATATACCTTGTCTTTTTGATACAAGTTGTGTCCAGGGTTTTACACACAAAATGCACAAGTTTTCAGTAGAGTGGGGTTAGAAAAACATCTTTATGAGCTTCTTGCCTACCTTTTTTTTTTTTTTTTTTAGGTTTCTGGCATTCAGAGGAATCTTTTTATGGCATGGAAGTTAAAGCCAGGTGATGCTGGCTGAGCTAGAATGCTAGTTTACTTCATTTTGAGTCAAAATTGTGTAACTTTGAGCATGGAGAGGAATGACCAGTAGCTATCATTATTTCTAGGAGAAAAGGGAATAATTTCTGTGGGATTTTTCAAATTCACTAAAGGAGATTTTTTCTGAAAGCTGATACATACAAGGTATATATGGATTCAGGAAACCAAGAACTGTAATGACAACTTCCCTGTAAGAAGACAAGCCAAATCTGTGTTGTACAGAAAGGGAACAGTGTTGCTACTGTTCCTAAATTCTCTGTGGAGACATGTTATTTCCAATTGGTCTCTCACTGATTTAAGACCACCTAAGTGGAAGGAATATATTTTCTTTTGTTAGGAAGTTTTTGGTTTTAGCTGCATGGTGGAAGTTGTTTTACCTCAGGAGATTATGCTGTTATTAAAAGCATTCACCATTGAAAAGGTTGATTCAATTAATTTTTTTTTTTCTTGGTTGACATCTAGAAAAATGGATGATGATGACGATGACATTCCCCAGCTTTCATCCCATACGTTGGCTGCCCTCCAGGAGTTCTATTTGGAACAGCAGCAGAGAGAGGGCATGAAGACCACCCAAGGGTTTAATCAATATTCCATTGGCTCAATAGAAGAAGATTGGGTAAGTAAGTATAAACCTGGATGAACGAAGCACAGATAGAGGAGTAGCCTTTAATGATTTTCTTTTGTGGATGGATAATGAAATGAAATTGAAAAGGGGAACACTCAAGATGTTCCTATTCATGGATGGTAACACTGTAGGGAGATTTGTTTTACTATTTAATCTGGGTATAGTTGTCTGTTCTACATGTGGGTGGGGGGCACTAACTGAAAGTATATGGACGGGGCATAAAGCTACTGTCAGAAACATCTGTCTCTTCTGGAAATTTTAACTCCACTTTGGCATGTAAAGGTAGTAAAGACTCCTTCCTGAGACTGAGACAAACACAGTGTAACCAGATCAAGTGATCTGTCCTTTAATTTAATATTTCTTTCTGTGTTTTATTTCTTTGTTTTTGTGGATGGCTGTTTCACTGCTTGCTTTTACTTGTGACGGACTGACTTTTGATTTGTCTCTGGATCGTTTGTTTGGTTTTTCCTATTCCTTTTCCTGATCCCCTCTGATTTAGTAGTCTTGTCCTTTATTTCCTTCCATACTGTCACTTTTTAAGTTCCTTTTTCTTCTTCTGCTAAAGTAACTCAAATTAGGAGCACACAAGTGTTGTGCATCTGCACATGGGGTTTGAAATAGCCTTGTCAGTGGTTTGGATTACCTGGTTTTCCTGGCACTGCCATACACGCTTTGGAAACATGTGGTGTGAGCTACCTGGATTACAGAAGTAGAAAGACTGTCAGGAAAATAGTTACTTTTCCAGCTTTACAGTTCGTGAACTGGGAAGTTGCTGTGGATTTTGGTTTTCTTCAGTTATGACTGACCACACCTCACTGTACATAGCACAGTCAGAAGATTTGATGTTGTTTGTCATTGTGCATCATTTCACAGCAACTGAGCCAGTTTTGGTACAGCGATGACACTGCGTCGTGCCTGGCCAAGGAAGTGGTTGCGGCAGCTGGAGAAGGTGGCAGGTAGGTTTTAATAATGGTGTTGTAGATTTAGCATGTCTTTTCTGTAAATGCTTTGTGTCTACTTCATAGACAGAGCATGCAGTTTAATTCATTACTCACTGTACTTCATCTTTGTTCATCTGCAGTATTGCAGAACTGCTTTGCTGTTTTAGTTCACAGTTCATACTGATCTTCCCACTTACCATTTTACTGAATGTTGTAGGCTGTGGAGGTTGAATAGGTAATGGCTTAAAGTTATTAAAGGAATTAGTGGTTAGAATGGAGAAAGAATAGCTTACATTTTGGGGACTAATATTTAAAATGTTTGTCCCAAAGCAGCTGTGAGGACTGGTGTAGGGGTTTTGTTGCTGTTGTTTGCCTTTTAAATCAGTATTTTAACTTATTGTGTCTTTTTCAGGATAGCATGTGTTAGTGCACCGAGTGTGTACCAGAAACTGAAAGAACTGGATGGTAAAGATTTTTCAGTGTGTATACTTGAGTACGACAGAAGGTTTTCTGTATATGGAGAAGAATTTATCTTCTATGATTACAACCAACCTTTGAACTTACCTGAAAATCTCCTGCCACACAGTTTTGACATTGTAATAGCAGATCCACCCTATCTGTCTGAGGAATGTCTTCAGAAAACTGCAGAGACGATCAAATACTTGACAAAAGGAAAGATACTGCTTTGCACAGGTATAACTAATAAAAATATTAGATCCCCATAATGACCTTCTTCTCTTTCTCAAAAGACAGACTCACTCATGTGAGAGAAATACTAACTCTATAATATTATATTATCATTCATTTAAGGGGCACTATGTATCCCAAGCTTTTTATTTGAATACTTGAGTTCAATCTTTGTTTTAAACTGAAGGCAAATGATTTTTAATAAGACCTTTAAAAGTCAAGTTTTTTTCTTATGGCATTACAAGTTTTACTGAATTTTTAAGGAATTACGAGATCATCCTGCAAAGTTCCAGAAATATTTTTTTCTTGTATTTGCAATGATTGAAGTCGGGCTGTGGCAAAACATAGGTGTAACTTATTCTTGACATCCTAGGCACTGAAATACAGCAGGAGGAATTAAAAACCAGTGTTAAAAGCAGTGACACTAAATAACTAGATAATTGTACTTGCAGGTCCTTCTTTATGAAGATGCACTTGCTGATTTAAGAAGTGATGTGCGTCTGCCTTAGTCATGGCATTTCCTAAACTGTATTGTTATTACAAGACATCTGAAGACATCCAGGAAACTTTTTCAAAAAGCAAAAGACAAAAGCTCTTATTCCATACAACTTGAGGGAAGTCAACCAAACAGACAAAGTAAATAAAAAATTAAAACAATACGTGGCCATAGAAAGTCTACTTTTTGGTTTAATTGCTCATGGCAGTCACACACAAGGGTGGTTCTCTCTAAAATGGGTAGGTGGTCCTTCAGTTTACAGAGTTTGAGAAATACTGCTCAGGAAGTGATTTCTCAGTGCGTAGCTGCGGTTTATTTAAGTGGAAGAGTATATGTAATCTGTTTGCATTTCCCATGGCTCCCTACCATTTAACTTCCTTGGTATGTAGCAAGAAGACTGAGTTCCAAGTTTCTTTTATGCATAAATGGCACTGATACCCTCTACCTATTTTTATGAAAGTTTTCGGACATTCATTTCCATTCTTTTAGATTTATTGTAAATTTCTCAGTAGATTAAGTTGTTAAGGGAGGCTGACAGTGTAGCTACTTTAAGCCTTCCTTCCTTAAAAAAACCACAGGCTCTGTTATATATGTATTTGTGAGGAGCTACTAAAAAAAACTCCAAACATTCTGTTACTGTTTTTCTTATTGAATATCAATTATTTTTGCTGCAGGTGCCGTCATGGAGAAACAGGCAGCAAAGCATCTTGGTGTGAAGATGTGCAAGTTTATTCCAAAACACTCGAGAAATTTAGCCAATGAATTTCGATGTTATGTGAACTATGTTTCTGGACTGGACTGATTCTCATAAGAAGATCTGCAACTTTGTCAGTCAAGCTGCTTTCTGTTTTTTATCAGTGACTCCACAATTCTCAGTGCTGAAAATATTCAGCTCTGAGTGCTATTTCCTGGGCTAGCTTTAATGAACATGTGTCAGCCTCTCTCTTTTAAATGAGTAAGCATTTGCAGCTACTGTGTTTTTACCTTACCTATTAGGTAAATGTGGACCAGACAGTGCAGGGACTGGATAACAGGAACTTCTCAGTTTGAGTTTAATTCTAATCAGTAACTTTTACAATTCAGAGACCTGAATTTTTTGAAGTGATTTTTAGCTTGTAACAACCTTATAACATAGGTGCTTGCTTGGCAGACATCAGAATTGTCATTGCAAAAGAACTTGATACTTCTGTAGTAATGTTAGTCCATTAAATCTTGAATCATAATGGCTCTGATTAAATACAATGCCTGCTTTTTAACAGATTTCAGTATGAAATTAAAGATGATTTACAGGTATGTCAAGTTTATGGTTACAAAAACAGTTTGGTTTTTTCCGTTGCCCAGTTTTCTTTCTCTCCTGTTCCACAGACAGCAGCAGAGGAGTAGAACAGAAGCCTCTTAGAAATTGTTGAATCTTGCAAGGCCACTGAGGAGTAATGTAATGTATTGATAAACTCCCACTGTTTCAAATGTTAGATTTTATATACGAGGTTTGGACTATATTTCAATCAAAGTAGATGATACATTAGAAAAATTTTGCTTTCATATGGTAGACATTTTTGGTAACTGGGAATTTTTAAAGTTAGTTTTGACTAACTACACTACTAATGTATTTTTGGGTGAAAGTTGGTTCATAAATTCCAAGGCACTCCACAGTTTATAATCTATAAATACACCGTACAAAACAAAAGTAATTGTCTTTATATGCCATATTGTGTAAAAGGCTAACAGAAATGCTGCATCTACAAAATATATCACCTAAAATGAAGAATTGAGAAATTTATTTTTCAGTGGGAATAAACCTAATTAAGCTTGTGAGACAAGATCATTTTATAAGGTAGAGATAACACACAAGTTTCTGTGCATTTTTGCTCTTTGCATGCAGATTTTCCCATCTGGTTGAGTAAACAACTGAGCAGGAATAATGTAGATAGAATATAATTCTCTCTCAGTGCTCAGTGTATCGTGCTGCCTGACCTGGACACAACAGTGGTTCATAAATACCCATCCAAGCCACTGTAGCTCTCTTCCCCATTTTCCAAGAAACCTATTTACTTCCTAAGGGTTTTCCCTCCTCACACTTTACATCTGCTGTTCCTGAGTTTCATTTTAACAGTTTAATTTCTCTTCCATGGCCTTGGCTTCTGTCGGACAGGTAACAGGTTTGTTAAACGAGGGAAGTGCAGCAGAGGCAGCGCTTGCAGGAGAACAGGCACCAGACTCTTCTTTCTGACAGTCTCTGTGAGCCCATGGCCAATACAGTCTTGCCTTTCAAACCAGAAGCTGTCCTTGCTGCTGAGCCAGGATCCCCTCTGAAAATGCCTGTCCGCAGGTGACATACAGCTGGGTTTAGTTGTTTTCCAGGAGGCTTCACCATCATTTTTATGTGGCCAGTTTAAAAAAAAAAAAGCAAACCAGAGTGTTAATTGCATGGCTATTGGCACAAGTCTGTACTTCACAATTGTAAACCGGTTTGTTACCAAGCAGATGGAGACGATGAAGTAACTCATGAAACTTTGTTTATAACTATGTGGAGGTTTCAAGGGGAACGGGTATTGGGGACAGATTAGCGGAAGGGAGGATATTCTTCCCCTGCCACCCACCTAAATTAGAATGGGCTGTTCAAACCAAAGCTTCACCTATGTTGCTGCTTTGCTATTAATTCCTTCAGTTGTTTGCTTTATTTTGGTAAATGTGTGTTGCTGGGCTCTCTACAGCAGAATCAGAGGATGACTTTGCTAACTTCATCAGAGACCTTTCTTAAAAAAATGAAACTGCACCATTCAGTTATACCAAGAAATTAACTTCCAAGAAAATGACTGCTGCTTCTCAAATGTAGGTCAGACAGCTTTGAAAAGAGGCACTGTGAAGATGCACAGTTATGAAAATGAGAGTACATATAAATCTGTGCAGATGCACTCAAACAGAGCAGCCTGTTGTCCACCAGCTTCCCTCTTAAAAGCCTGGTGAGTGCAGGCAGCTACCCAAGCAGAGCTTGACTGGTGGCATTTACAGACTTCATCAGTGATGGGAGGTAAACTTCTTTTTGTCCAATTGATTCCAAGGCAAGAGCTATTTCTAAAAAGGTACAAGTCACAAAAATTCATAGTGAATTTGTGCTTTGTGCCATCATGGTAACATTAAGAAATGTTATGTGACAACAGAATCTGTCTTCTGTAATAGGATTATGAATAAAAACATCAGTGTCAAGTAGTGATTGATTTTCCTTACTGCTGATGTCTCATGGATGGACTTTCTGTTGGAGCAGAGTGTGGTGGAGAGTTAGCACCATGCTGCCTTTCCAGTGGCATTTATGACTACAGAGTCCTGTGCTACAGCCACTTACCTGCAGTGATGGGCACTGTGCCCATTACATCTCAGTGCCCTGCTGTTGGTATGGCTGGGACACCTCGCAGAGAAAACTTGCTTGTGCACAGGCTGGTGACTGTAGGGGAAGAGAATACACTGCACCTCACCCCAGATGAGAAATGAAATGTTTCTGGAAATGCAGTTGTATGAGGCCCAAAGTACTGCTGCCAATTTCTGCACTTTTGTTAAAAATGTCACCCTCATTGGTGTTGCATGGATAGCCCGTCTCTACCACACAATTGCTTCCACCCTGTGCCCGTGCCCGTGCCTGTTCCCCCATCCAGACCAGAACAACTGGGAGGTATCTCTGATGGTTGGTTCGGTCACTCTGTTACCTGCACGGAGCAGCCCCAGTGCCATGCACTGAGATGGGAAACAGGGCAGCTGGGTTCGGGTAGCAGAAGCCCCTCATCAGCTGATGTCAGAGCTGTGCTGCTTTTCTGGGTCTGCTCGCATTCTGCAGCCTCCTTAGACGGGAGTACAGCAAAACCAAGTGGTGGCTCATGCCACCAAAACACGTGGGATTGACTGGATCTCCCTCGTGCCCTAGTCCAGGTATTTATGGCTGTTCCCTAATACCAGTGAGATTAATGGGGTTTCATGCTTTGTGAGCACATCACAGCCTTTTTCCCTTTTCCTCTCATGGCTTTTGTGTTCGTGTTCCCCTATGCAATTCCATGTTCACTTGCAGCTGTAGATCTCCATCTATTCAGACAAACACCTTCAGGTAATGACTGGCGAGAAAACCAAAACTAGCATCTCAGGCTTTTCTCAGCCTTCCTGAATGATTGGAATTTTCCAACCTATCTTAAGTTATACTATAGAGAAGAAAATAATCTCTTTACCAAGGATATTGTTCTGTGTTTTGTGACTTCTAATGTATTCCAGGGACAACCTCATTGAAGGAAAAGATTTTCCTGGCACAACAAAAAATTTTCTCAAATCAGCTGCAGCTGCCAGATAGTTCCAGCTTTGAATTGTTTGCATTTATTGGGGCTGGAGCTGGTTCAATGAGGCATTTCATGTCTGCCTTCTGTCAACAGTTTGTGAAGCCTTGAAGCAACTCCAGTGAACCCTCCCTCCCCCCATGCAAATTAAAGGCAAGGCTGCAGCAGCTGTAACCAGAGGGCTAGAAACTGGAAAATGTCACACCACATTTGAAGTGAAACTGATATAAATCCATGATGTGATGACCTCATTATAAAAAAAAAAAAAAAAAAAAATTCCAAACAAATGCAAACTACATTTAATACTCAACCTTTTCAACATGAGTAATGTGGAGAGAAAGAGTAGATGGAAGGGTATTTTGAAGATCAACAAATGTTTGCGTGGATAATAGTTCTTGACATTAAGTATTAACAAACAGTTGTTCACTAACAAACTATGAAACAGTTGCTCGTGCTAAAACATAAACACAGATTTTAAGAGACACCTAACTGGAAAGCTGGATCAGGAGGCAAACTGGCTTAGCTAAAAAGTCTGTCACAGAAGAGAGTAAAGATTAAAGAAGGAAAACGGGCTTCTGAACAAGATAACATGAAGATGCTTGTAACCATGGGAAGCTTCCTGCACTTGTTGCAGTGTGATGAGAAGGTTGCTGCCAACATTCTCATTCTATTGATCCACTGAGATTTTGCAGTTCTGTAGTACTTTTTGTCATCCAGTTTCTGAAGCTCTATGTAAGCCAAAGCATTTGTTTTACTGGACTGGAGAAACTGATTAGGCTCCATTTACCTGATCTTAGTTTGCAACTCCCAGAAATTCCAAGAACATGCTCTAGTTACTTGAAACCCTCAAAATAACTCCAATAAATTAATGCTTGCAGCACAAGAACTGCAACAAAAAAAGTGAGATTTTTTTTCCTCCACATCACGCAAATATATCCATGTGCTCTAATAACTAATTAGTTGCAGACAAATTTGTATAAGAAAAGCATGTGGGCAGACAGATGAGTTCTGCTGGAGGGCAGTGTTTAGCCAGAGTTTTAGCTGGTAGCCCCTCTGAGTATTTACTACATGTTAAATGCTGCGTGGTTTGACATTTTGTTTTTGTTGTTTGGGGTCATTTTACTGCCTTTTATGGTGAACACTTTGCTTTCTATGCTGTGGAGTCTGAAAGTTCATCTTCACCCTGCCTGAAGTGTGTGTGTGGAGAAAAAACCTCACAGTGTAGTAGTGAAACTCTTAAGAAGACAGGCTGTAGAAACATCATCCAATGAAGTGTTTCTCCAGTTTTGTGGGTCTGTCTCCCTTTTGAGCCCCTCTGATTACCATTTCCCTCTGCTCAGAGGGTGAGAAGTTCCTCCAACTTAGGAGGAAGGAAAAGTGGTTGTAACTGCTGCAAGCATTTACATTCTCTAGGGAGCAGGTAACTACCTCTAATTGCTGGCAGCAGCTAGGCAATTAGCTGTTCTCTGAGTAGTATAAACACTTTATGACCTTGTTTGAACTCTCCTTTGAGGGTTTCCTTGAGACAGAAGCATCACAATTTGAGGAAACACAGATCTAAAGACAAGTAGAATTGAGGAAAAGCATCTGCACAAAAGACACAGTTACAATCTTCAATCTGACATCATGAAGGGAATCTTTAATTCATTAAGCTATTTTAGGCTTTGTACGAAGTTACACCGTAAAAATACTGTTATGCTAGACTGGGTCATAAGAGAGCACAGTCCATAACTGTGCACCAAGATAAGTAGTTGTCGTATGACTTCCATTCTCTGTTTAACTTGTTAATTCTGATTAGCTTGTAGTCTTTCCATTCTTCATCCAACAACACTCCAAAGAAGTGTGTGTTTGTGTAGTGTAGGGGCTCTCTCCGCTGTGAATTAAAGGCCAGTTTTGAGATTCTTGACATATAGCAAATGCATTGCTGCATATGATGACTATTCTGTAAAAATACTGCAGTCAAGGTCCTTCAGCAGTAAAAAGAAAACTCTCTGCTGTGCATTCAGAGCTTGATCAGTTTTGGCAAGTGTGGCCCTCTGAGGAATTATGTTTGTGCAAGGCATGCCTGGTTATTCCTGATTCCTATTCACTAAACTGAGTCAACATTCAGTCTCTTGTTCTGGAAATGCAATTTTTTGTGTATCCAGGGTTTCCAGTTAGGGCTTGCCATCAAGTTCCTTCAGCAGTAAGCTGCACAGATGGAAGATGGTGCTTCTGCAGACTAGCAGCTCTTGGGGGTGATTGTTACATGTGGCATAGGGAAAACTGTGTAACAGCAATTGTATAAATTGTTTGGATTGACTGAGACTCACCTCAGTAACTTCTTGTAGCATCTAGAAGTTAAGACCTAGCTTGCAGTGTACTTGAGATGGACTCTGTCCTCTGTACTTATTTTTTAATAGACAATTTCCTCTCCTAACATGAAAAAAGTTTTGGCCTTTCAACTGTACAGGTACACTTCTATCACAAGAAACAGTTACGCAGTTAGTGATGGATGAAATCTAATACAGAATTCTTGGGACCCAAAGCGTGTTTTTTCTAACTGATATTCTCTGTGTAATCAGATTTAGTCCACATCAGAAAAGTCTGCTGCAGTTTTACAATATTCTAGCATGTTTTTTTCTCAACACTTTTGTACCCTTAGCAATTTTGCAAGTTTAAAAATAGCAAACACACTAGAATATTGTTTCATTAATAACTCTAACTCAGCAAAGGTTTCCTTGCTGTGTTGTATAAATAGCCAAAGATGTAACAGCCAAGAACACTGCTTGGAGATTATGCAATGTAAAGGAAAGCTTTCTCAGCCTGAGAAATTATCCTTTTAACTGCTGATTGGGCACAGGTCGGCACTATGTGATTTTTATATAAGGGTACTTAGAATATAAGAGATTCTTTAAAAATATCTACAACCAGCAGCCTGCTGTAATAATAGCTAACATGTCTTACAATTGCGTCATCTTCTAAAATTTACTGTGAAGAAGCAAGGATAAAATGTTCTGCTCTAAGAAAAATAAAAAAGGCTACTTTGGAATTTGCAGCAACAAACTCAACAGGTTCACTAAACAGGAGTACATAAACTAAAGAAGTTCTTCATATGATTCGCCATCTCTAATGATCTGAGTGACTCGACAAAACTTTCCGTCTTATAACTGAAATAACTGTAAGCAGGAAAAGAGGGCAAGTCAATGTGTTTGCTGCCGTGTCACCGTTTCCCAAGGTGGTGAAATGTGAATGTGAGGCCAGTACTGTAACACAGCTCCCAGTATGTTCTTCATTCTGACGAGGGCTTGTTCTGGCTCACCAGCAGCTTCACCTCTTGCTTATCTATGCTGGAATTTACGCTTTCGGCCTCCTTTTCTGGCTCAGGCACACAGGTGCAGCCCACTGGGATGGTGATGTAATCCTCTGTGTAGACGTAGCGGCCCCCGGCACAGGAGGGCGTGCGGCGCAGGATGACAGTCGGCATGTACACAGGGGTGCTGCGGAAGTGGAAATTCTCCTCCCCAAAGATCCCCATGAGGCAGCCTTTGCACAGACAGTATGCTTCAGGAATGTATTTGGGATATCTTGTGGGATCATAGGAAATTCTACAGGGAAGCAGATAAAGATCCGTTAGTACGTCTTAAAATAGATATATTCCTTTGGAGTTATATAATGTTGTTGTTATTGTTGTTATTATTATTTCATTATAATAATTATATCATATTTTTGTTGTCTTTTCCAGAAAATATAGCTGTGGCTATTGCTGTCTGGCTTCTTATTTGTAAAGAGTAAAGAAGAAACAATGCACAACTAACAGAACTGATCAGGTCCTACAGTGCACACAGAAGTATGAAACATTTGGCTTTCTGAACTATGAGATTCAGGGGTTTAAGAAGAATAAGTTTTGTGGTTTGGACTGAATGGGTAAATAGAGCATTAAAAAGGACACTTGGGCATTTGATCTACCCCAAGTTCTTCAAAAATTAGTACAAATCCTTGTTAACATTATTTTGTTAAAGCCATGACATGGTGTTTTAAAAATTAATAACTTAAGTAGAATTGAATTGTACTATTATTTCAGCAATAGATTTTGCCTCCCTACTATTCTTGGAGTTATAAAGATGCAGAAAGCAGAGCTCTGTATTTCTTTCTCTAATTCACCTTTGTCTCTTCCTCTAACCGGCGAAAAGTAATATTTTCATGCCCACATTGAGATAAACTGCAATGTCAGTGTTTTGTCTGCCCTTGCCTGCTATATTTTGAAGTAAAGCATTGCCTCAAAGCTTCAGGAGTATAGCCTCTATTTTTTGTTGTTTCACCATTTGTTTTTTGGCCATTTCTTTTTGCTTATTAATTCCCTGTCTCTAGACATTCCTTATTAGCAGGAGCAAAGCTTTTAAACTAAGCTTCAGGTTGGACATCAGGAAGAATTCCTGCGCAGAAAGGGTTGTCAAGCACTGGAATGGACTGCCCAGGGAGGTGGAATCACCATCCCTGGAGGCGTTCATGAAGCAACACGGCACTTAGTGCTATGGTTTAGTTGACCAAGGTGGTGATCGGTCAAAGGTTGGACTCAATAATCTCAAAGGTTTTTTCCAACCTTAAGGGTTCTGTGATTCTAAGTAAAGCTTGGATCAGCAAAGCCCAAGTTCTATCATTCCTCTCTGGATGTTGTTGGATGCAGAAACAAAGATGTGATACTATGGTCTCAAGTCACACAGATCCTGGCTGACCTATCGCCATTGCTTTCAGCAAGGAGACTAAAGGCTGAAAAAGTCTGCTTTGTTTTATGAAATAAAAGATTAAGTGCACAATGGAGTACAGTACTGGATTGTGTAGCCACACTGCTTATTGTGGTGCTGATGTATTTGTTGCTTTGTACTTTACCTGCTTATACTGGAATTAGATACCAGGCATGGCTGTAACTTGTACATTATTAGAACGGTGTGCCATTATTCTAGAAAATATGTTTGCACCTCCAGAAAATGAGGATATTTAAAAATACTATTAACTCCTATGCCTGCCACTATGCTCTTTACACTTTCAGGTTTCCTCTAGATAACCTTCTGTAACACTATTACAGAACTAGCCCTGCTTCAGCACTGGTTCTGCTGTCCAGCTGGGGAGGGATGACGGCTGTCTTTGGCTGGAGAAACATTCAGCCCAGAAGTACAGCCAGTGCTCCTCCCTCTGCGCCCATCCCTGCTTTGGGAGGATGCTGACCTCACATGTGTTATCACGAGCACACCTGTCAGATAACAGGAAATCCTTTTCTTCCCTTTCCCCTGCTCCTACTTTCACACCATACATGGTCAGATGTACACACAGTGCACAGCAGAAGTGTCCTAGGGCTGATACTGGCATGGAGAGAGCATGAAGACACATCAAGAGGTCACCTATGACTCCATGGGGCAAGCTCAGATGTATTTGCCCATGTTTGTCCAACCCATTCTTAAAAAGCTCCAGTGGAGAACCCCAGCCTGCCCAGAGGCTCCGTTGCAATACTTTGCTACCTCTTTACTTGGTAGATTTTCCTGACAGTGAAGTGAAGCATTTTTTTTCTTGAAAACTAAATCAATAATTTCCCATGTTTGGTGAATCACAGCAGCTGAGGATAAAAAATTGAGTAAAAAAGATTTGATACCAGAGAGAATGGTCAAACCTGTAATGTTTATCATGAATTGCTGCAAGAACAGTAAAAATTCTTGCACTGGGTTTTAAGCCATCCTCTACTTGGGATCAGGATAGAACCACCATGCAGTAGATGAAGCAAGGCAACTGCATAACAAAAAGGAATCAAATACCTGTCATCAAGATAATTATTTATGGGATAAAACAAACTACTGAGTATACAATATCCCCTTTCCACAGCCATTTTAAAATAACTGATTTTGAAAACCACAATAGAACCATAGAATCATAAAATGGTTTAGGTTGAAGGGACCTTAAAGATCATCTAGTTCAAACCTTACTGCCGGGGGCAGGATCACCTTCCACTAGGCCAGGCTGCTCAAAGCCCCATCCAACCTGGCCTTGGACACTTCCTGGGATGCAGCAGCCACAGCTTCTCTGGGCAGTCTGTGCCAGTGCCTCACCATCCTCCCTTCCTAATTCTTCCCAATGTCTGATAAAAACCTATCCTCTTTCAGTTTGGAGCCATTACTCCTTTTCCTTTCACTACCTGCTCTTTCCAGGCCTATTTAGGCCCCCTTTAGATACTGATGGCTCCCAGTCTGTCTTCATAGAAGGTCTCCATCCTTTAGAGCGTCTTCCTGGCCCTCCCCTGGACTTACTCCATCTTATGGTGGGGTCCCGGTGGGATCTCTTAACAGAGCTTCAAGTGATCTTAAATTTGAATAGATTTAAAGTGATTTCTAAATTGTGCTTCTCAGGGTTTGCAGCACTTCTGTGGGCATCAAAGTGCTAGCCTTTTATCTTTTCAGGTCATCTCTTAGGTGAGAAGAGGTTTCAGCTGTGGAAGAGGCAGCATAACTTTGCCTCAATCTGTGGCTGCAGTCACTGCTGGTCAACAAAATCTGTACTTGCAAAAACAGGCAGTCTGGCTCTCCCTCTCACACCCACCCCTGGGTTGATGCTGATGTTTTTCTGGTCACAGGATTGATCAAAGAACTCATTCAACTGAAAAGTAACTTCATTGAAAGCTGTGTATATCTTGCCACATGTGCACAGACATCTACACCAAAAGCCAGTGGGGACAAGCAGCTGTCGATGGGGGCAGAGGGGAGCTGCCTTTTCCAGAATTATCACCTGTTTATCAGGACTTGGAATCACAGCTTTGGCCAAACACAAACTTGATTATCCTGTCATCAAAGAAAAGAGGCATTTAAAATGTATATATAATGGCCATCATATATATATATATGTATATATATATATATATATATATGTATATATATATATATATATATATATATACATATATATATACACACACACATATATATTTAAAGAGTTGGTTTTCCTCACAGACAAACCTGTCCAGTTCTCTCATAGCCAGACACTGGTGATGTTGCAAATATTTTTTGCAAAGCTTCTCTGTTCCATTTATACTTGTTTACTTTCCCCAGGAAATACCTTCATGTTACAGGATTTCACACCAGTGTGAAATAAATGTATGGTAGCCAGCAGAAGGGAAGAAAGGGGAATACAGGCCTTTCTACTGTGATACATTCCCATTTCAAACTCAAGTGCGAGTAGTTTCAGTGGTGGATTGTTAAACACACCATATGTCAAGTCATTGGTATTTCCTCCACTGTATTATCTCTAGCACCTGGTTTATGATGTTACTGGAAAGCATGAACATGCTTCTGCATGCAGACATAAGAGTTTTCACTGGTAGCAGAAGAACGCTGGAATCATGGTCTACAATGAACTTTCCCCTCCAAATTCCCACATGGTGAAAGTCAAGTATAAACTGGGTTTTTTGGTGGTTTTTTTTCTTTTTTTTTTTGGAAGGATGGTGTGATTGTGACATGGTTTTATACTTTCCAAAGAAAAAAAATCTCTTGTATTACTAAGTTGGATGTAGACACCTCTACTCCATCATGTGGGGAATAGGAAAGATGATGGATTGAAAATATAGATGTGGGTTTGCATCCAGACCAGAACTTTAAGGCTGAAGGATTTAAGTAATGCCTCCTGAAATAATTAGTTTAACTCAAATGTCACTACAATTTGGAGCCATATCCAAGGTTCTGCATTTTCAGCACAAACCTGTTCGGCAAAGCCATATAACTAAAGCCTCATTTTTATCTTTCCAGGCAGCCCAGACCTACTTGGGTCTGAACCACTAAGAAAAACCAGTGACCTAGCTGGAAAAATGCAATTGTGTGACCTACTTCCTCTGTTTGCATGTGTGGAACAAGACCACCACTATGCAGATCATGACCACTGCCTCAGCTGCTTTGGTTTGATGCCTTTCCATTACCCCAAGCACTTAAAAGTCATGTTTTTATATCTTCCAGAACAGAGAATTTTTCATCAGGTTAACTAACCAGACAAAACACATGCTCCAAGTTCCCACTGACTCTTTCCTACATGTAGGGTAAGATACACCCAGCTGGGATGGATGCAGCTGGGAAGAGTGCCGGAGGACCAGAGAAGTGCAACTTCTCACTGGCATCCAGCTGTCCCCTGCAGCCTCGTGTCATTTACTGTGGCCACTGCTGCAAACTAGACAGCCCAGACATTTGTAGGAGGATTGCCCTTGTCCTGTGAACTCAGGTCGCTGGTATATAAGGCTAACTCTGCCTCACCAGCGCTCTCGATTGATGAGCAACAGGGAGCAGGGAGCTCTGCTGGGCTGCTCTGTTTCGGTGTGCTGGAACAAGAAGCAGGTTTGTGCTGAACCAGAACTGCTAATGAAGTGTGACTAGGCTGCTTTTCCTTATGACCCTACGAGAGCTTTGAGGGATCCCAGTGAAAAACAAACTTCCTGCTGTTTACGTTCTGAGCCTGGAAACTCAAGACAAAAGTCTCTGTCAGAAGTAAAACTCTTGCAGAGACTTAATCTGTCTTGTCCTGTACTGCTACTTTCACATGTAGTATTTTTAATAATATTATCGCTTCATAGTTTCCAAGCTTCTGACTCCAGGGAGTGAGATGCTGTGCTGGGGCAGCCAGCAGACTCTTCAGAAAATGAGTGTTAGCACTGGGCTAACAGCTGGATGTTATCAGAAGTCTAATAAGCAGATCATTGTCCCCTTCCTTCACACTCCAAAATACTTATGGGATTAAGAGCCAGTAACTTTTTTCCTTCTTGGCAAGACATTTATTTCCCTGTAGCAGGTGTTCTTTTGTTCACATTATTCTTAGTTTGTTTTACATACAGGTAGTAACTACAGTGCTTGCAAAGAGTAGCCTAATGCTATAACCGATTTTCTGAAGAGTTGTACAAACATGTACTCAACTGAAAAGGATGGCAGTTCTGTGACCCCTTGAATTCTTTCCCTTTGCTGTGTATTTGGCATAAGCACACTGTGCCACTCAGTACTGTTAAATCCTGGAAAATGTCTTGGATAAGCTTCTAGAAAACCACTGGAGTATTATTTAAAGGAAAGACCTCTTTTTCAAACACACTGCACACAAGCTTGCCCTTTACCAGTAAAAAAAGACTTGTCTGTATTACTTTTATTAAGATTTCATGTAAATGAGCACTAAAACAGGGATGCTTATAAACTGAAACTGCTTTTTGAAAATCAGAAAAAACAAGCTGGGCAATGTTTGAGGAAGGGAGTGGATTACGTGGGATTTCATGATCAGAGCAACACTAACAATAAAAGTTAAATCTCTGTAAATAACCCTTAGTAAACACAGGATTAGGCCCGAGAGGCAGACACAGAAGACATGGGATTTGGAAATTCAGAAACGTGAATGACTTCTTGAATACACATAAAGAATTTTTGCCAAAGTCACACAGAGGTGTGTTTGCAGAAGACTCTGAATGTATTCCTAAAAACTGGCTATGATTGTTATTATAACCCTAAGAAAACAGAAAATAAAAATAGAAATTATGTGTAGAGCTGATTAATGAATGGCACCTATGCTCTGCAGCCCCAAGAATGGAATCACAAATTAACACTACCCATAAAAGTGCTGTTGACTTCAGTGGGATCAGATTTTCCAACCATTACTCTGAGCTTTAATATCAGATCCTGCAAACATTTAGACGTGCATTTAAAATTAATCCTTTTTATAATCGTTCTTGTCCATGAGAAACTGTCTGCTTTATTTTTTTAAAAAACTGGGTAATTTTTAGACCGGCTTCCTGAACTGCTGAACAAATCCAACATGCCTAACTGCCTTCAGGGAACTCTGCTGTCTCTTGATAGCTCTGCAGAGTAAAGAGCGATTCGTGTGATTAAACTTTGTGCCCTGAGTTATATACTGATCTCCCGTGGCCGTCAGGGTGGAATTTCAGTATCAGACAGATGAATCCTTCTCTGCTAACTTTTGCTTTAAATACCACCTGTTGGTTGCTGCTAGCAGCAGGACTGGGGACCAGATGGATCTGTGGTGCAATCCATGTACAGCCCCTGTATCTCTGGGTTGCAGCAAGCCAAAAGTGATGTAAGTCTTGATTTTTGTATAACCAAACCAAAAGACCAAGAAATGGAAAATAAATAGTTAGCACAGAACAAAGACAAGGAAAGAAGCCACACAAGGATTATCTGAGCTTTAAGCCAGTCAAACCTAATTCTTCCACACTTGGAATGACAAACTTGGGATACAGGCAATGCAGGGGGGACAAACAGATCTCTAAGTAATATATTTGATTCTTTCTCATAAATGCTGATATGAAAAAATTTCAGTCGAACTGAACAGTCATCTGAGCAGAAGAATTACAAGCAGCAGTGTACAACAGCTGGGAGCAGGTGCCTAGGGAGATAGGGGAAGGTAAGTAGAGCCAGACTTAATATCTTTATTATTAATGACCTGGAACAGGGTGTATAAACAGTATGTTAATGAAATTTGCAGATGGTAACAATGGGAACTGCTGCAACACCAATGGAAATGTAGAAACAGCATAAGATATCTCAGACTTTAAAATGCAGGTCAAAAATAAAGACTCCATGAACAGAGCAAAAATGAATTGCACTGTAAATTTTTAGGTGCAGAAAAGAAGTCAGAGAGCAGGATGTCAGTGAGACACACCGAAATGGAGCAGGCATCTTGATGCAAATTTCAAGTAGTCAAATCCAGCCCTTGAGCAGTGTCCTGTAGTGTACAAGAGCAAGTGAATTTATTTGACAACCAAACCAACTCCAGTTATTCAGAAGGCAGTTCAGGAGACAGCAATAAATCAGTGAAGGGGCGAAATTTATGATGAAAGATTGAAAGAATTAAATGTTAATAGGCTTGTCAAGAAGGTTCTGTATTTCAGAAGACAGCTGTGTGCAGTTTTTCAGATTAACACCCCAGCCACGGAGAAGAAATCTCTGAGATTGTGTAAATTAAATCGGTTAGCCATTGACAAAGTGTCATGTAACATCGCTTGCAGGTTCTTAATGGAGAGCTGAGTGTCCTTATCAAAGATACACAGTAGCTCTAACAGGATGAGGGAGCTTGCTTCCAGAGTACTCGGGTAAAGACTGTAGAACAAAACAGATCTTCATATCCAGCTTCAAAATCTATGAGATAGTAGGTTGGAAGAGCTAATGCACGTTGTTGTGATGTCTGTTGGTGTCTCATTGCACACTTATGATACACTAAAACCACAGTCACCAAAAAAAAAGCTGTAAATGGGATCTGTTAACTGGACCATGTGCTCAGTTTTCTTCACCCTAGAGAAACAGTTTTTCCCCTAAACATATTGTTGGATTTTGCTTTTAATGGTATACTTTTTTTTTTTTCCCCCACTATCTTTCAAAATTCCCAGCTTGAAGATGTCATCATGTTACTTCTATGCGAATGGTTAGTGGTCTGTTTGAAAACATTCTGATGAAAAGTACAGCGTATTTAAAGCTTCTTAATAAACTTGCTGTAAGCCAAGCCCCAAAAAGCAGCTGGTTCTCTGTTAAGAAATAAACCTATTCAGAGGCCCAACTGAAATAAACACCTGCCTAACGAGATGTAAGCATGGAAGGCACTGTTTTCAAATCAGAAGACCAATTTTCTGATAGCACTAGTATTTATCAAAACCACCCTAAAAAGTACCTAAGCCTAATAGTAGGTGTTTCATTCATCATACTTGCTTTGTGCACACTTAGGTAGCTTAAAAATCCTCAGTCTGCTTAGAGAAAATGTATTACTAAAAATACTTTGTTTATGAAAAACTTACTGAGCAAATAAACCATTTTTTCTCTCAGTAGGATTACTTCTTAAACTAAAAGTGGGCTAAACCCATGCCACAGAATAAATGTTTATTGGAGACCGCTAACAAGGAGATATTTGCTTGCTGAATACATAGTAACTGCATCAAAGCATATGGGAAGGACAAGACACAGAAAGTAGCAAGAAAGTCAGTTCCTTTTAAGTTTTGGCATGTTTTACCTTCCTGTTGTCTGCAATGTCTTTACAGAAAGGTGAAAACAGAGAACTCACTCCTCTTAGTTCTGTTAGTCTTACTAAAACAAACCACCAGAAGGCTTGATAGTCTTCTGAGAATGTGATCACACACTGGGTTTAGTGTTCTAGCTAAGTGGTTTCCAAGCTTTTCCATAGCTCCCTGTAGAAGTGCAGACCCTCGGTTTGTGTATTAAGTAGCCTAAATTCAAATTTGCTGTACTAAGTTATTTTTATGCCCACTTAAAAATAGTCTGTCAGCCTCTGTTCCACCTCAGGGGAAGGAGATTTGCAAAGCATAGGCTGAAAACACAATGCGGAATATTGCTGTACTCATTCCTTGCCTACGCTCCTCAGCAAACCGGACAGCAATCCCTTGAGAGTGTTTGCTAAGTGGAAGATACGGCTCTGCCTGTGTGTAACATGAACACAGAGTATACTCATGTATTTTAGAAACAGCAGAGTGTCTGGAGTCACATCTCAGGAAAAGAACTGAGCCCCCTTGGGGCTGTTACAGAGTCAGGATGTGCTTCCTTAGCGGTGATTCTTTGCTGAGGGTCCTCTGAGTGAACTTCACATATGACAATTTGCCCAAGCAACTTTCTGAGGGGTGATCTGTGCTCCCAGGTGTATGCGAGCTCCATCTCACGGCTCACTCCACCTCGTTCGTTTCTCTTTCTGCCCATCAGACGTATCCCTCAGACAAGCTGATTTTACGCAATTACTTTACATCACCTTACCTAGACGTCTACTTTAGCACCTTTCCTCTCGGCTGCTACTCGGTGCCGCGCTCACCCCTCACCTCCCCGATCATCCCCCGGGTACCGCGCAGGGAGAACCGGAGGATCCCGGCGCTGCTGCCCGTCCCACACGGGGACACCGGCCCGTCTCCCTTCAGCCCGCCAGGTCCCCCTTGAGGCAGCCGGACCCCCCCTTCCCGCGGCTCCCACAGTCACCTGTAAGCCCATGGCGATGCGCTGCGCATGTTGACGGGGAGTCGGACCCTCTTGTCGGCGGCCGGGCGTCCCCCGGCGGGGCAGCTGGCGTTGTGCTGGCGACCCGGCGGCTCGGGCTGCAGGGTGTGGTGGAAGGCGCTGAGCATGCCCGCCGCCAGCCGCCCGTACAGCTGCTCCAGCAGCTCCTCGGGCCGCTCTCCGCAGCTCCGGGTCCGCGCCGGCCGCTGCCTGTGCGCCCTGGCGGGCTGGGCGCGGAGCGGGAGCAGCGCCGCGCAGAGCAGCGCCAGCAGCGCCGCCGCCGCCCGCACCTGCAACGACGGCGCCGTCAGCGGGGACGGGACCGAGACCCGCCGGCACCGCCCGCGCCCCGCAGCCCCCGGCCCGCAGCCCGCAGCCCTTACCCTGCCTCGCTGCATGGCGGCCGGGCTGCTCCTCCTCGAGGGAGCCGCGGAAGGCGGCGGGACGCGGCGCCGCGCCGTGCCACTGGCTCTCCCGGCGGAGGAGCTGTTGGAAAAGTGCCCCGCGCCTCACTGCATCTCCCCTGGCCTCGCCTGCCAGGAACATGTTCGGCGGCGCTCACGGAGAGGTGGCGAGGGCTCGACGCCGGGCGCGGGCCGGTCCCGCTCCCCGCCGCGCTGCCCCCGGCCCCGGGACAGCCCCGCGGGCACGGCCGGGCTCGGTCCGCCCACAGCCGCCGGCCCAGGACCGGCCAGCAGCCCGGCGCTCCCGCGGGTGCCGTCGGCAGCCGAGCGCTCCCTCTGCCCCGCTGCTCCCCTCTGCTCCCGCTGCCCGCGGCACGAGTAGAGCCGGGTTCTACTCGGCCCCGCTGGGACACTTGGTGTCCAGGGCTCGAGAGTGAGGCAGAGCCAGGGGGACTTGGCCCGGTCAGAGCCAAAGGGTCAAGGCTGATGTGAAAAAAACGTGAGGATTTGCAGCTGGAAATAGCCCAGCCCTGGCTGTGTGACTGCAGCTGGGGAAGGGACCGCTGCAGCCCGGGCTCTCCCACTCACTTTAGAGCAACTGGCACTGTCCCTCGTAGGGGTCTGGAATCTGTGACTTGGCAGCACCTCTGGTGCATCTCTCCAGCAACATCCCTGCTGTATTGTTTCTCCAGCAGGCACTGGGGTGGTTGATGTCCTGCACAAAGACTGGGGCTGGCAAAGGTGAGGCCGCTTGGAGCTGTCTGTGGACCACTTGATCTGCCAGTTCCCCCTGCTCAGGTGGCCTGTGGCAGACACCCACTGCAGTGTCACTCTGCTCACCAGAAGAAGAGCCGCTTCAGAAGGTGAGAAACTTGCATGATACACATCTAGATGAGGCTGAGGTGAGTCTCACCTCTAATGACTTCTCCGTCTATTCTGCGCTGGCTGGCTGGTACTTTTAAAAACACACAATGCAATGGATTTATCGTTTCTGGCACAACCCACAAAAATAAGCATCTGTAGCACTCTGGGTCATAAAAGATGTGGTCCACTGAACTGGTCTGCATTAAAAACAGCCTATAGAATTTATCACTTGAATCAAATATTTCATGTGCTATATCTATTGAGGCATTTAGTGAAAGGATAGCTAATATGAAAATACTATTCAGGAATGAGGGAAAATGGGAATCATAAATCATACAAGGACTGATAAACCCCAGCTTTGTACCACAGAAATACAAGACATCAGCTTCACCAATCAGTCTGGAATTGGAACAGAATGAACTGGCATTTGTAGTGAAATGACTTGATTTCATGGTTTCTGAAAAGTCATCGAGTTAAGTCTAACTATGATTTTTAGTGATTTTGGCACTGTATGCATCACAGGTCAGTATCACTTATGATATCTTAATCTTGAACTGTGTGGGATTTGAATCAAGTTTTGACTCTCAGGAAGGAGTGTTTAAAATTGAATTAAAAACTTTCCTTTGCAGTCTTATCGTCAGATGAGAGACTGAGGCAAAGCAGATTCCATTGAACTCAGTCCAGCCTAACTCCTGAGCTCTGAGCTGCACCTGGCCTGGTAAATATTTATCACAACAGATCTTTTTATATTACTCTTCCCACGATAAACCAGTATCTTTTCTCAATGCTTTCTGAGTAGCGTAAGGATGTCACACTTGTTTTTGCAAAATGACTTTTATGCACTTCCTCTATATTGGCCTTTCTGGGAGAGGTCTGCCTCAAAAAAATCAGAGCAGATGAAGAGAAAACAATGGTGCAAGCATTAAATTGCCAGTGAATTTAAGGCTTTGAGTTTTAGCTAGACAATATTCTAATTCTGTACATTACTTGCATTTTATTGTCTTATTAACAATCTCATTGATTCAAATAAGAAGAATCACAGAAGGGAAGCAAATGAGATTCTATTACACAGGATCTGAAAGAGCACAATGCCAGTTCTCGTGGCATACTCTACCCCAGAGACATCCGAGTCATAAAAAATTCACTAATACATTTTGGCAACTTAGGTTCCTCCATGACTTTGAAAAATTACCTACCAGTGTCATTGTCATTGGTGTTGATTTATAATTTTCTCAGAATCTGAGGGGGGCTTAAAACATCTATGTAATGAAATACTGGAAAAAAGTATTTATTAATACAAAGTCTGTCCTCAATTTGATGCAATATATGATAGTATTTCAATCAATGAATTCAGAATAACAGGCATATGCACCTGTATGTGAATCTATAGGTAATTCCATGGCTCATGCTGTTTGCTAAGAGAAAACAGGGCAGTGAGATATTTTCCTTTGATGGCCTCAGCTGAAATTTCCCAGTGACAGAGCACAGAACATCCAGCCTATGCTCTTGACAACAGGGTCAGCTGGAGCAGCAACCCTCCATTGCCATGGGCAGCCCCTGCCTCCCTGCCTTGTGGTCCTCTTCCAGCCTCATGCCAAGGCCAGTAGTCCCAAATCTCACAAGCATCCAGGAGAAACCCATTGCAGGCTGGCTGTGTCACCATCTCCCCAGTACACAGGCCATTACCAGCCTGCTGCCCACCATCCTGTTCCCACCACATCATTGGGCTCGGTGCTAGGAATTGGTATCATTTTTCAATTCCTTATCTCTGTATCAGTGCCCGTGTAGAAAGTAGCACATCTCTCTGGCTGAGTGGCTGAGGAAAGGAGTGAACCATGGTCTGGTCATGTCCTTGGGTGAGCCTGCAGTTCTAGAGGACAGAGGAACAGCCACCATTTGTTGCAGCGCAGGCAAACCCTGCCTGGGCCCCACTCTTTGAAGTGCAGCAGCCCTCCCTTCCCTGCCCTCCTCCCTGCCCTCTTTCCTCACCCCTCCCTCACCCACCGGCCTCCAGTCATAACTGTTCTTCTCAATAGTGCCCCAAGCTTCTGGTGTTTCCCCTTAGTGTTTCAACAACATACTATCTTAAACTTTCCACTTTCCTGACCCAAATGTATTACAAATGAAGATAACAGTTCATCTCCTTATATGCAATCATTTAATCTACGAATTATAGCTTGATCCAATCTTCACATTCTATTTTGCTGGATTCTGGTGAGCTTCATGGTATGCCTTACCATTTATTATCCTCCTTTATTGACCTTACATTATCCCTTTTTGACCAAAACAAAGAAGAAATGTCTTGAGAGGAAGGGGAAGAGAAATTTGTCACCTATAGAAGAGATAGAAGGAAAAGTATTTCTTTCACTTTTACATAATAGTCTAAATACTCTTTCTGGCAATTGTCATTCAACATTTATACTTGGGAGTGGCATCTGCCTCTCTCCTGAGATTATCACCATAGTGATCAATGCCAGATAATAAGAATTTCAGTTCTACAAATCCCTGCTATGAGAAAGTCAGGATGTTCAAAAGAAAACTAAGCTGTGCAAGAGTAAGGCAGACGTTTTTAGTGAGTTTGTATGAATAAGAGGAAACATTTTCTCCATGTGGTTCCATCACAATGTTAAACACTGAAATGTGTTTAACAAAAAATACACAAGGTTTGTGTCTTCATTGTCCCAGACACATTAACAAGCAACAAGCAACCTTGTCAGGACATTTTCCTGGTTGGGATTGTTGTCTTCCATAGCCACCCTTGCATGACAGCTGATTCCAGATACTTTGGCTCGCACATAAATAAACCACATTATTATGACAAGTGTTATTAATGACACCACATAATGCACTTGTCACAGCAATGGCAGAACTGCCCTGAACTGGCATATTCCAGATGTTTATCCTCATCCTGCTACAGCAGTGTGTATTAATGAGGTCCTCTCTCTATCTGAAATAACGATGTGAAAAACATTTTCAAAATCATCTTATAGACCTTCAAGTTGAACAACTTGTATTGTGGGTGGACCAAACATTCAGCTGGCATCACCAGTAGGCACAGATCTTCAGACAGAGAATTAAATTATTCCCCAAAGGTACCCTTCTCCTTCACATTCTGTTTGCAGATAACCTGTCACCCAAATTGTTCTGTCCCCATTCATCTTCTCTGCACTTGTAAGCATTGTAATACCACGTTGCAGCTTCCACTGTGTAGCATCTTCTACAGCAGGATCTCAGCACTGAGATTTAGAGTTGTTAGGCAATTCAGCATTGCAAAGTGAAATTCTTGCAAAGTGAAAAATCCCCAATGGACTTCATTTTGCAAAGGTGGAAACCGAGAAGAAAACAGGTTAAAAATAGCCTTTCTACCAAAAAGATGCCTTTGACATCAAGAACAATCAAAGCCTAGCAAATTAAATTAATTTCTTACAGTCTCAGACTATGCTAGCAAAGAACCAAGAAGAGAAACAGCACTTCCTCATAATACCTGCAGATCTATTTATTGGTAATTCCAAGCACAAATACAGTCTGGTTGGAGGGGGCTTGAAGCAACCCAGTCTAGTAAAAGGTGTCCCCTCTATGCATGGTGAGTTAGAACTAGATATGCTCTTCTAGTCAAAACCATTCTATGATTCTATGAACTTTCTATCTTTTCTTTGTACAGTTTTTAATTCCCATGTTACTCCAGAATAGCTTTCTTTTAAAAGTAACGAGTTATGCAATCTGTAGTGAGAAATATTCAAAGTAAAACATGAAATATATGATTGAGAATACTTGGATACTGTGAGATTAGGCTTCTTTAGAAATAAATAAATAAACGACTACCCAAGTAATCGTTTACGTTTGGCTACTGTATATTTTTCATTCATGTAAAAAGAGAAAGGCAACTTTGTATGTAACTAAATCCAGCAAATCCTGAGGAAGATCTCAAGTCTGAGAGGTCAACTGAGGGTTGTTTAATATTAGGACCAATACATTCTTCCCAATAATACAAGCTAACACAGCTCATGAGTCAGTTCCTCAAGAAGTTTAGCATTTTTCTAAGTTTAATACTGCTACTCTTCTAATATAAAAGAATAAATTAATAGCAGTCCTATTGCATTTGCTAAAACTTTATTTAGGAATTTTAAATGATTGATCTGCTAATTTCAGAATTATAAACACAAAGTTTGGGCTTAAATGTTGCTGGAAGCACATGCCCACAGTGTGGTTTCTGGAGACGGAGTCTGTTTTGTGCAATCAAACCTGAGGAAATGTTTCTGCTTGAATTTCTGGGATGAAGGTAGAATTATTTAGCACACCCAGTGCTTCCACTCTTGTGGTTTCTGAGACTTATTACAAGACTAAGGACATCCTACATGGCAGCAGGGAATGTAACTCATTGCACCTGAGCTAAATGCCAGCCAATCTCCAAGACAGGGGCAGGATGATCACATCAACATAGCACAATAATCCCATATAACACAGATAATTAAATTAGACACAACACCCCCCTGGTCTGGCCATGCTTCCTTCAAGACCTGAGCTGTCTGAATAGTGAAGGTGTGTTCACCTCCTGACAGCTTGAGGCCTTCCAACAACACACTGACACAGCACTTTGGACATGCATGCAGCTTCTTTCTCTACAGGTTCCAGTGTATTAGTCCCCATCAGGGATCACTCTCCAGCCTTGGGTCTAGGTGGGGATGTCACATCTTGTATTCACTCACACAGAACATCTTGCACCAAAGAAGGAGGAAGTTGCACTGAAACTGCTTACGAAGAATGGTTCCTTGCCCAGGCTCACCTGTGGATGATGCAAGGCAAGTGTCTGGGGGATCACCTGTCATGGTCCAAAACTGTACTCCTGTGCACCCCTGTGCTACTGGCCCTACAGTACAGACGGTTACACATCAGCTCCTCTGCTCTGGGCTTGCCCTGGCAACACTGCGATTCCAGTAGAGACGTAGCCATAGTTAACACGGTTTTGAAGTAGATGAACCCGGGCTACATCACTTTGACTGTCGGCAGGACTGATTATTCTGGTGTTGGAGCTGGATCACATGGCTTTCTGTCAGTTCAGAACAAGCTCAACTGTGCTTACAAAGTAACATGCAAATACATTATAACCCAGAGCATTATATAATCAGATCCTCATGCTATAGGAAACAACATGTTCCAGAAGTTCCTGGGAGTTTCTGCAACATGTTGCAGAAGCGTCTGTGAGTTTGTGCAGGACTGGAACAAATGTGCAATTCCTTGTAATCCACAGGATTTTACATAACATACAGTTACTTAGGACAGATTGAACCAAGAAACTGCTGCCAGTCAAAATCTCTCTGATGTCCATAGGAGTGTTTCTACAGACTAAGTTGTGAACCATATCCCAAAGTTATTAGTAATTCCTACCGCTTTATCACGAACAAGTCTCTGTGACTGCAGTGAGTAGATGCTCTACGCAAATGTTTTTGTATTAGAAGACCATGACAATATCCCGCCTGTCTCCTCTTTTGCACTGTTTCATGGGTTCATTTATGCTTCCTGCCATGGTCCCAAATATTTCCTCTCAGTGTGATAAGTCAGATATAACACTGCCTTCTGTAGCTGAAAATGCTCCCTCCCTCCTGGCACATTGCATCCTGGGGGTCCAGGTCTTCCAAGACTAAGCCTGACAGAAAAGAACTACTGTGACATCCAGGAATATGTCATTCCATGACCAGAGCAATAGATAGAGCAGGACTGAGGAGCAGACAAGAGGAAGACTTGGAGAAGTAAGATAGGTGCCGTCCACATCCATCTCACGTTGTTTTCCATCCCTGAGAAGGATCAGGCCCCATAGCTTTCTGTGTCTCTCTTCTTTGATGAGACCCTTGGGATGTTCCATAAGCCGCTCTGCATATGTTCTGCTCATCCCACCAGGAGGAAGCTGGTGCAATTCTAGGCTGAGCGCTGCACCAGTGCCATGGGAAGCAGGTACATAGGATGCAGCTGTACCATAAACCCCACAGGACAACATTCCTGACCACTTGTAGAGACACACTACGAGGCTGGGCAGATGTTTTTAAAATGTGGAAGGAACCTTTTGTGAATATATGAAGAGACCTCTCCAGTGTCACTATCTGGGAAACAATCTGAGCACCAACACCAAGCACAGGAAACACCAGCACTGGAAATTTTAGAAGACTGGATCCTTGCATTTCAAAGTACAATAACCAAACTATTAAACCAAACTCATGCCAATGTACTAAAAACAAACCACCTCAGTGGACTAGTTTTGCAAGTATTTATTACGAAATTCTGAACACCCAACTAATATTTTTATCAACCAAAAGTGATATAAATCAGGAATTTAACATGTCTCAGTAATGTCATGT